AATCTAGATGAGTCCTCAGAGACACACTTGGAGTAAGTGTGTTTCAAAAGTCTACCACTGTTGAGAGCATGTAACTTCTAATTGATATCAGTGGGCAGGCATCCCTAGCACATCACTTCCAAATTTGCAGTTTCTTGTATATTAGAAGGCAGCTAATGAAATTAAATGTCTGATGAATACTCTGGAAGATGAAGTATGCCATGCTGGTTGAACAAATATTTTTATGAATGCTGGATTTTTTTTCATTAGTGTTTTGTGAATAGAATACATTCATGAACATGCACTAGTCTTGACACAGCTCATGCGGTAGATGTACATGTTCCACCATAATGATGGCAAGTAAAACTTATTTTTAATTTCCTCTTGTGAAATTCAGATTCCCTCTGCTGGATGACTGCAGCAATGCATGGTGACCTCAGTATCTCTCTTCCATTTGAGAGAGAGACTCTTTCAGGTTGACTGCTTGTGAGAAATTTCATCTTGCAAAGTGCTGGGGAGTGGGGACTTTAACTGGGTTTTCAGTGATTGGAACCAACTGACTTAATTTTTTTAGAAGCCTGGAACTCATCTTATGGCACACTACCTAAATTTCTCTGTTGACAAAACTTCTAAAAATTTAGTGGTTAATCCTCCTTTTCTAATGTTCTGTGTAGAAAGTTGCCTCTGCGAATGTCTGCCCTCATTGATAGTCTTGTCCGCGTGTGACTCCAATGGACAATGTGATGTCCTGAACAACTATGACTAAATTATCTGGTAATGATTCTAGAGCAGCCAGCAATATCCTACTTCACAAAACTGGTTTAATCAGTTCCTTTATATCCTCACATTCTTTGTCTTTTGGCCATCAAGCTAGTCATAGAAAGTGAATCCAAATGTTAAGATTAGTCCCAAAGGTTAAATAGATTTCTTAGCAGATCTGATAACCTCTGGAATTCCTGTGTGATTTGCCAGAACCATATTTGTGTTGTCAGAAAACTTACTTGAGAAACTCATTTAAAGAAGAAAAGATTATGCTCATCTTGCAGGATGTCTCTAATAGTAGTGACAGTATGTTTTTCAAACTACACTTTGGGTACTCACAAGAAAAAACAATAGTTTTTAATGGCTTTGCATTTGTTACTGAGAGAGTCCAGATGCACAAAAAGCTCAGAAGATGACAAAATTGGGAAATGTCTTTTTTTTCTGCTTCCTGGTTTGGGGCATATCTAATAAAAAGAGGGAGGATTGTGCTATTTCAGTATTTATAAACCTGGAAAATGAGTTAATTTTTGTGCTGGGTTTCCTATTTGGAACTACGTTTATAATTACAAACCTCAGTATAGAATTTGACTACGATCTAGTATTTTCTTAATGTGCTTCCTAGAATTATAAAAGTCGTATGTAGTTTGCAGTTTACACATCTTTAAAATAAGTTAGAGGAAGTAGAAAATCGAAAACTTGCATTTGGAGTACACCAGTGATCTTTTGGGTCTTTTATCTTTATAGGTCAGTGTTTCAAATTTAGATGAGTACTGAGTTAAAATCATTTTTAGCTAATGGCCTTTTTGATCTGTGTGACATGAATGGGTGGTCTCAATATATTTCCTGCTGTATAGATACTTGCATCATACATACAAACCACCATTGAGAATCTTAAAAAGAATGCCAGAGACCAAATGGACTGAACTGTTGTATTTTCTTTTTTCTCAAAAACAATGTATAGTCCTTTGGCACCTTCAAGACTAACAAAAATATATAGATAGTATCATGAGCTTTTGTGGGCAAAATTCACTTCTTCAGATATGCTGTAGTGGAAAAAAATGGAAATCCAGAATTTAAAATGTGGGGAAAAGGGACCGAGAGTGCCCCTGTCAATTGTAGTGCCAGTGATAATGGGGCTAATATGTGGTCTGTGTGTCTGTAACAATCAACACACATTATCAGGGCAGTGTTAAGGAAACTTGCATTGCTATTGCTTATGCTAGGGATGTAACAGTGTAGTCTATTAAATGATTAACTGGAAAGCGGCTGCTTATACTGGACTGCAAATTGAAACAAAGTTGCAGTTGTTTTGATAAAAATAGGTGACTTTACATAATTTTGCTATATTGATTTTAAAAAATGGCATCAATTTTTCTGAATCACACAAGGATTTTTCACAAATCAAAAAGAAAAAATGGACATTTTTCATGCTTTTTATTACACCTTATGCATTAAGCTTGGCAAATAGTAACTTCAGGGGGTAGCCGAGTTAGTCTGTTATAGAAAAAAACAGCAAGCAAATGGTCTGGTAGCACTTTTTAGACTAACAAAACATGTAGATGGTATCATGAACTTCAGAAGTGGGCTATGCCCACGAAAGCTCATGATACTATCTACTGTACATGTTTTGTTAGTCTATAAAGTGCTACCAGACCATTTGATGGTAAATACTAAGCTATAGTTCTTTTGGAAGGTCTGTTGTAAGTCCTTATTTAAAGAAAAAAGGAGGAAAGTGTGAAATTTAACAACTGAGTAATTTTATATGATTAGATGCAACTGAATCAATGCTTTCTTGACAACTTTTTATGCATTTCAACATCAGTCTCTCTTTTCAGGGACCAGCAGTAATCAGCCATCATGTTGACCTCCCAGTGTCCTTGATATCTCTTTTCCATTGTCTTGATATCCTGATGAAATCTTCCTTTGCTCTTCACTGACACTTCCAAGATTTTCAGGAAAATAATTATTTTCAAGAACTTAAAACTATAAGCAGCGACTTATTTTCAAGGACTTGCATTAAAAAATACCTTAAATTAATTGAATTTGTCAAAATGAATGCCATCTAGCTTAATTTTGTGGAAGGGGATCGCCAAATTATTATATTATATATTATAGGAGTAATAAAACAGAATGGCTTCAGGTAATCCCCTAACATGGTATCTTGCCTGAATGATCCAAAGAAGCAAAGACAGAACATAACAGATTTTGTTAGAAACATATATCACACCTACAGGCAGTCCCCGGGTTACGCGGATCCGACTTATGTCGGATCCGCACTTACGAACGGGGCTTTTCTTGCCCCGGAACTCGCAGGTGGCGGGACCACCCAGACGCGCAGTGGACCCGCCACCGCGTCCTCCGGGGCGAGAAAAGCTGCTCCGGGTGTCCCTTGTCTGCTGGGAGGGTCCCCAGGAGAGCAGAGACACCCCGAGCAAAGCCGCAGAGGCGGGGGGGTCCCGCGCCTCTAAGGCTTTGCTCCGGAGCAAAGCCTTGGAGGTGAGGGACCCCGCCGCCTCCAAGGCTTTGCTCCGGGTGTCCCTGGTCTGCTCGGGGTGTCCCTGGTCTTCTGGGAGGGGTCTCCAGCAGACCAGGGACACCCCGAGCAAAGCCGCAGAGGCGGGGGGGTCCCGCGCCTCTAAGGCTTTGCTCCGGAGCAAAGCCTTGGAGGTGAGGGACCCCGCCGCCTCCAAGGCTTTGCTCCGGGTGTCCCTGGTCTGCTCGGGGTGTCCCTGGTCTTCTGGGAGGGGTCTCCAGCAGACCAGGGACACCCCGAGCAAAGCCGCAGAGGCGGGGGGGTCCCGCGCCTCTAAGGCTTTGCTCCGGAGCAAAGCCTTAGAGGCGCGGGACCCCCCCGCCTCTGCGGCTTTGCTCGGGGTGTCTCTGCTCTCCTGGGGACCCTCCCAGCAGACAAGGGACACCCGGAGCAGCTTTTCTCGCCCCGGAGGACGCGGTGGCGGGTCCACTGCGCGTCTGGGTGGTCCCGCCACCTGCGAGTTCCGGGGCAAGAAAAGCCCCGTTCGTAAGTGCGGATCCGACATAAGTCGGATCCGCGTAACCCGGGGACTGCCTGTAGGTGTGATATATGTTTCTAACAAAATCTGTTATGTTCTGTCTTTGCTTCTTTGGATCATTCAGGCAAGATACCATGTTAGGGGATTACCTGAAAAATGCAGAAGAAATGCAGAAAAATGCAAAAAATACAGTCGTAAATATCATTCGAAACAGTGAAACCATTCTGTTTTGTTACTCCTATAATATAATAATTTGGCTCCTGGGACCCAGTGTGAGCCAAGCTGCCTGACCGCCCAGCTTCTACGTGACTTGCAGAGCCACAAAGGGGGAAGTTCCCAGGACTGGCATCAGCTGGGACTAAATCGAGCTGCCTGCCTTCCTGGCTCCTAAATGACTTTACTTGCAGAGCTGGAGCAGGGGTAGATCCTGGGACCCAGCACAAAACAGGACTTAGTGCTTTCATTGCTAACCCTTATCAATTAATTGTGTCACTGACACAATTTTTGTTGACTACACAATTAACGAATTGCATGCCTTTTAACATCTTTGGCTCATGTTAAACTATGGATAAGTAGGATACATCAGCACTTTCTGTTCAAGACTTCTGAAAAGTTTTTATACTGTACACCAAATAATTTAGGATCTCAAATATAGCTGTGTTAGAGCTTAGTTGTTTAGTGAATTTAGATGGGAAATTTCTGATACCGGAGATTAAGGTATGATATACAGATTAAACCTCCCTAGTTTTCTTCCCCTCCCTTCCCCCCTGCAGCTCTGGACCAGCCGCCAGCCTCCTAGCTGGCTCCACCTTGCCATGAGCCCCTCTGCCCAATAATTTAGGATCTCAAATATAGCTGTGTTAGAGCTTAGTTGTTTAGTGAATTTAGATGGGAAATTTCTGATACCGGAGATTAAGGTATGATATACAGATTAAACCTCCCTAGTTTTCTTCCCCTCCCTTCCCCCCTGCAGCTCTGGACCAGCCGCCAGCCTCCTAGCTGGCTCCACCTTGCCATGAGCCCCTCTGCCCTGCTAGT